GAGACTGTTACAAAGAAAGGGGAGTTGAAATATCTTCCCCGTGCTTCTTTCTCCAAACAGTATCATCACTGGATATCTCGGCATATATAGGATGCAAGTATCTATTTCACTGAAGAAGAGGGAACTGTGAAAGTCTCCACCATCATTTTAAAAGAAGGTAAACTTTTCAACTTAAAACTCTTGCTAGGTGATTGTAATACTTCAGTTTCTTTTGGATAGGGAGTTTTTTCCTTGTTCATCTAGAAATCACACTTTTAATTTGCAATGCAATTTCTTAATTAGCTCATGCACATCACTAAGATGATCCAACCTTTCAGCAAAAAAGTAATCAGAAATAACTCGAACTTCTTTACCAGTACCCAGACAAGGAACCAACAGAGAAAGAGCTCAACCTCAGGTAGAGAAATAACATAACATTCTTATTACTGAAGTGCTTCATCATGGAAATAGCAAAGTGGAATGCCTAAGGGAAAATTCTCTGAGGAAGAGGGAAATGTATTAAACTGTGTTCAAAGACACGCAGTCTCTTCAGAATTTCAAACATGACCCCGGAGCCAGAAGACCGCTGGTTCGAGTTCCATCAGTACAGACTGCTGGCACCACCTCACGTGCCTGCCCCACGTGTGAGGGATCTCTCTCTGGCTGCTCTGCTCTCAGATGTACTTTTTACAACACCTCTTCAAGAACAGATGCAAGCCAGCATGGTATCTTTTAAAAATTAAGGTCTAAGGGATTTTTATGTTCAAATGTTCTCATCAGTTCACTTGCCAGCTGCCTTGGTGATATTTCACTGATAAAATGCCCTAATGGAGAAGTATCAAAGAGGGTAAAAGCCTGTTAACATGGCCAGTCTACTTGTCTCTGCTTCACACACTAATGCTAGTAAAAATCCAGAGTGCGTACCCTCAGTCACTGCTCATCCCACCCCTCGCAGAACAAAATAGCTTGAGATGCTGGTGGCTGGAAAGACATATTATAATGCTCACACTACTCTTTCAAAGGTACCTAGCCCTAACATGGATGAAGAACAAGGATTTAAGCAGTCTTTAGGTTTTTTAATTTCTCCTTAGACAAAGTACACCCACACAAGTTCTAATTTTTATTACTTTAGCATCAATACATAATACTCAGGCATTAGTACAGTACTTAGAACTGCATCACCTAAGCATTATACCATCTTTAATTTGCTAATTTGCTTATAACTACAACAGAGTAGCAAGCTAGGGCAGAATTATTTTCTCATTTTGCTGGTAGAGAACAGATCCTTAAAATTTAAGTACCTATCCTGATACATAAAACGTGTATGAAAAAAAACAGAGAGCTAGACCCAGAATTTCCAGGTCTAAGGGAAGTAACCTCTCTTCTGACAACATGGAAACAATAAACCATGAATCCCCAAACAACATAAAATAATAACAATGACAACAACAAAAAATTGAAAAATTTGACTTTGGGTTTGACTTTTTTTCATTATAAATTACAGCACGAAGTTAGGGAAAAAAAAAAAAAAAGTAATTTGCAGATTTTTAAAGGTGGTCTTCAAAAACAGTCCACTGAATATGATACAAAATGCTGAGGGACAGTGAAATGAGGCTGTCATATATGGAAGAGAGATACAATACCGAGAATCTTAATTAAAAGAAGGTAAAATGTGGGGGGGAAGCAGGGCACCCACTGCCAAAAAGCCAAGCACACAAGTTTCAGTCTTGCCTAATATTTAGATGTAATAGATGCCTCACAACTGCTTCTCTGTAAAGATAATATGGACCATAACAAACACAGGTGTGTTAGCATGTAGCTAGAACAAAACAGAAAGCAGAAGGCACTTAAGATAGTACAAACCACGCAATCGTGATGTTGTATACAAAACCTGGACACTGTTTAAAACATAAATACTAATTACTGGGATACACTACTTATATTACTTGTTTATCAGACCCCAAAGAAAATAACTTCCCATCTTCGGCAGCGTCTTGAAAACCCTGAACTATCCAAGTCATCAACATCACACCAAAAGTGTGCCAGTGTTGTCTAGTTGTCCCCTGCTTCTGTGCTGCTCTGCTTCTGTCCCAGTCATTTTGCTTTACAGATCATATTTCATTTATACATATAAATTATGTTAGAATAATATAACCTATGTTATGTTAGAACATATAAATTTATTATAACAATAACAAAAATGTACACCACCCATTAATCTGTTTGCCAAGCTATTTGCAGGTATTTGGTATTACATTTCTTGCTGAATGAATGAAAATTCTAAAACTAGTGCACTGTATACATCTAGCAGTGTCTAAGGAATAGGGTTGACTAAATTATTAATTAAGATTACTCTATAGCATATATATGCTGAAAAAGACTGTTTTAGAAAATTAGAATAGAAAAAGGAGTCAGAGAAATGGTTCTTCAAGAAAATAGCTATAATTATTCCCAGTGATACATAGGTAGTGACAGAAATACATTATTAATATAAATAAGGCAAATAAGTACCACAAACCCAACTAATGTTAAACAAAAAAAGGAAAATTAATTCTGTATTTTTCCTTCTGATTTTCATTGGTGTGTGCTATAAAAGTGCGTAACAATATTCAGATTCATGTTATTCAAGATGTTAACCCCTGCGTTTAGGGGCATTTGATTTTCCTTGAAATCATCCAAGAAAAGCTGTCACTAAGCCTTTCATTTATCTAAAGTAACAGACATCAGAAAATGGCATGTCAACATTAATACAGACATTCCAGTGGATAGAAGGCTTTCTTTTACATTACGTAAGCCAATCAAACCTCATAGACTCTCAGTCTATTGAAATTCCTCACTTCCAAATTTCTTTGTTGTAAGGAAATCCTCCTTTAGTTATCTATTTTGAAGTAATCAGGGGAAACTGACAGCAATATAGGATATAAAATAGATGCATAGCATGAAGGAGATTCTCTTCTAAAGGAATTTGTATTTTTAAAAATCCTTTTAAAAAAGGGCAAAGCATTAGAAAAAAAAAAGATGCATCTGATTCAGGCAGCAGAAGAGATGCAGAAGCAACCTGGAACAGCTTACACTAATTAAGATTTACTCTTCAGTGCCAGCAAGAAAGACTTCTCTGTATCTAAATCAGCTTCTGCACAAAGCTAAAGCAGAAGTTAGCATACCTATGAAGACAGAGGACGCTTCATTGGCATTCTTTCAGTTGTGCTTTTCTGAACCTATAAACACGTGCTGGTCTCACTTTTATTAGCCAGTTTTGGAGAGTTTTGCTCTAAAATGACCAGAAACTCTGTACTATATCTTTCTACAAGTCTTTGTCCATAAAAGAACAAGATGCATAGTGGCAGACACTTGCAGATTTCAAAGTTGTGCACTCTAAACTGTTAAGAGCAGGACCTCTCTTGTACCAGTGCGTACTGGTAAGGCACTTTGCCCAGCAGGACCCAATTTCCATTAAAAATAAACAGTAATAAATCTCATCACAAGTAGCAAGGAAGATTGTTTTATAATCCTTGCTACCCATGGCTTCAGTGTGGAACCCAAGAAGCGATACAAGCAGAGGCTATGGCTATCAGGAAGCGACTCCCCAGCTCTCTGGCTGCCTCACACTGTCAGAAAGCTTGAGCTCATTTGCTTGGGGGCATTTTGGCACCTGGAGTCACGTATCCAGGAGGTGGCCACACTGTTGGACAAGTGCACCACTTCTTGAGAACCAGATGTGGTGTGATCCAGATACTTCTGTCACTGGACATCAGTCATTTGGGAACTGGTGCTGTGACAGAGAATATCAGCAGTGCGCAAGATCCCTCTGCCTTGCAGTTCCTTGCCGATTACTCCTCCTAAATATCAGTAATTCAAACTAATACAATTTCCACATCGTTCCTTTATCTCAGAAGGATTCTCTGGGTGCCTGAAGTACCTCATATATCTCTGTGTTGGTTTGTAATTTTTGTAAGGCTTTTTTCAGGTTCCTAAATTCTTCCTTTATAGATTAGGCCTATGCATTTCCAGCTCCAAATCTACAGTTCTAGTGCAAAAATATCATTTAACAGACAGGCAGGCATGATAACAAAAAAAATGGCTCCCATTTTCCATTTTGCTAAATCTCTGATTACATGTTCTCAGGCAATTCAGATAACCTGAGATTTGACTCATCTGCTGAGCAGAAACATTACCCAACTTTGCCTTTACATTGCACTTTGTAATCCTAGGACCTCAAAGCCAAAATACACAGTGTCTCCCTGAAGAAAACCAAGACCAGTGGAAAACTACCTAGTGTCACAAGGAAATGTGTACTCATTTTGAATTATAAAACTATACTGAGTAAATCATTACAGATTAGAGTGCTAACTACAATTCAGAAATACCCAAAGATTAAAAATATTAACTACCAGAGGCAGAGATTAATATCAGTAATTTACAAGTTATCTTTAAAAAGCATAAAACCCAACAGCAAACTAAGATAATTTCCCTACCAGACTTTCTCCATTCTCTCATTTTTCCCTTAACTTGCTTTTTCTCTTTTTAATAATGGTTCCTTGAGGTTCTGATCACAACATCATTGTGGTATCAGTCTACTGGAGGCATAATCCTGGTCATACTCCTTTTAAAGGATAATTAAAGTGTTAAATAATAGACGAAAATTAATTTCCTCTGACTTTGTCCTCTTTTGAATACATAAACCTGTGCAATTATACATTCAAAATAAAAAGAATCTATCAACTCTGAAACCTCGGAGTTCATCAGGTACTTTTCCAGTGCCTATAAAGGAAGATCAGTACTTTTAAAAATCCAGTCATTGGGGAAAAAAAATCGTTTATTGATATTGAAATGTGTGTCTCTTTCCACTTGTAGTGCCAGACACCTTTCATTAAAAAAAAAAAAAAAAAAGCTCCCAGAGATAGGTCACATTTCTAAAGGTAAAAAAAAATTTTAACAAATAAAATATTGCACTAAGTTTCAAGCAAATGTTGATGAGCCTGGGAAAGGGAGAGGCTTTAGAAAGAAGATGGCATACTTACTGCTTGAGGCAGACAATTCTTTTGGACTGGAGGACATTGGCTGAGCACACATCTGACAGAGACAGTCTCTTCCATTAAAGGTAACTCGATCACCTGGTGGAAATGGACGCCTGGAGAGTTAAAGAGAAAAATGTATTTTAGTAAAGGTTATGCCAGAAATTTTCCTCTGTTCCCTATGCCTTGAGTTCGCTGCCTTCCTCCAGTGCAATCAGTATTTCACAGAAACTCAGGCCAAACAGTTTCTGCAATGTGGCCTTGGCAAAGCCAGGCACTGGAAGAAATCCAATCCATGGATGCAAGCAGAGCAGAGGTTAGACTTGCCTTGTATTTCATTTTAAGAAAGTTATCAAACATACTTTATCTAAAGAGTAGACAACAGTGGAATTCTCTTAGACACAACAGCTACATTTATGATGGGCTCAGCATGATGTTGTGGGTAGCAAATGGTACAGAAGAGAACTCAAAGTGAGAATCAGTCTTGATTCTAGTGAAGGAATGTGGAGCTAGTCACTCACAAATACACTCATTTAATCAGTATTCAGCAATGAAATATATGACTATATTACAGTGGATTTAACAGTTCAGGGGAAAAAAAAAATTTTATCCACATTCATTCTCCTAGTGCTTTAAAATAGGTATCTACATCACAGAATGACCACTGTAATTACTACCTGTGCAGATGATGTTAGGAGAAAAGCTGAATGGACTGTGGAAGTTTGAGATTATTTGCTGAACCCAACAAAATATTAAGAATGTGTGTTAGGCAGAAGCTGACATCGCTGTTAACTCTCATTTGGTGTATAAAACAGAGGATGAACAACATTTTGTATGAGCATTTCACTAAAATGAGAAAGTTCAGTAACTCCAAATCTTTAGTAAGTAGCTTTAGGTGCTGAGTACAGGCCTCCCTACACCAAACCTCACTCCAGAACTGTGCTTAACAAATGAACATTTGCTTGCTTCTACAAAACGAAATGTTTAAGGTATTGTTCTAGTTTCCTTTCCACTGACATTCCTAAGTGGGCCATAAATAAATCAGCAGCAATACTACATTTCATGAATCAATTCCAATGACTCATCTTTTGTTCACTCAATGTAAAAGGATTGATTTAAGTCAATGTACAGCAAATTGATATCATGTTTCATACTATAGCATCTCTTTTCACAATGTTCTTGGGAAATAAAACTGAAACATGCACGTGATTACCAACACGCAGTAAGTTCACGCAGTATTTACAATGGAAAAGTTATCAAAATACTTCCCATAGAAAAGGTCTTGAAAAATACACCAGGCTATAGGAGAAAGTACTTAAACTACTCATCAAAGACAGATATGAAAGATTAGGGTAGCATCTGGCAAGTCTGCCACATTAATACTCAGATGCATCATATGATGAGATCTTAACTGGCTTTAAACTGCAACAGGGGAGGTACAGACTGGACATTAGGAAAAAAATTTTCACAGAAAGAGTGGTTAGACAGTGGAATAGGCTGCCCAGGGAGGTGGTGGGGTCACCATCCCTGGATGTGTTTAAGGGTCGTTTGGAATGGGTGTTGGAGGATGTGGTGTAGGGGAGATCTTTGTAGAGTAGGGCTGATGGTTGGACTCAATGATCCCAAGGGTCTTTTCCAAACTGAATGATTCTGTGATCTCGAACAAGGTACTGTCTCAGAGTGTAGATTCTTGCCTTGCTTGTTCATGTCATCCTCCTGCATTAAGTTTCAAACAATTGGATTGCTGCCAGATTCTGAATTCTGGAGAAGTCCACTGTCATATTTCTCTCCAAGACTACAAAGGAACAGGCCCTGTCTTTTGAGTCCTCCCTCTCTATGAAATCTATCTATGTCTCTGTCTGACACTCACATAAGGAGACTAACCAAAACTGATTGAGAAAAAGTTTCATTTTACTTGCAGGGCTCAGAACTGCTGAAATGAACAACATGATGGCCATTGGAATTCCAGCTTAGTACATAGTATACACGTAACACAGTCGGCTCTCTGTAGAATCATGATGGCACTGTAATATCACTTTACTTCCACTTTATGTCTAGAAGAATATTTTTACTACTATGAAAATGTGCCACTCCTATTAAAAAAAAAAACTACAGAAGCTTTATTTCCGGTAGCGTATCCAAAATATTATACTGAACACCACAGCAATAAGGTACATGCTAAGAACAGCCTAAATTCTGACATAGACTCAGTGCCTAGCGTCAGCTAATAGAGAACACTGGACAGGGACTTTGGGTTGGGTCTAGGCTGTACAGCTCAGCTGAGATTTTCAAGTAAAGAACTGCTCAAATAAGCAGGCTATGAGAGCACGCTGAAGATCTGCCCAGTAGTCTCCTCAATTCTGAATTAATATTTTAGTGAGAGTTTAAACAAAAATAGATGTTATAAATGCCACCTTTTGTCCCATCCTCACAGCCTCAGCTAGCTTCTTTTTATTCCCTGTAGAACTGAAGACTGGTTCTCTTACTGGGGAGAAGAAATAGTATTTGGGAAGAAGAAGGGGATCACAGTTGTCCCAAAGCCATGCATTCTTACATGATGTGAAAATGAGTCTCCAGTATGTTTTCAATTGTTTAAGTGTTCTTATAGCCCAAATGTCTTCTCTATTGTAGCACCAGAGTTTTGTTTTACCTCATTTCTCCCGTCAAGCTGGGCTGAGTACCTGAACTCAACTCAACCTGTGTCCATTATCTCAACATGCAAGCCTGATACTTAATTCCTCCATACATGAGAGTAACTTTCTAAGAATACGGAACTATATATAACAGCAAAGCTGTGTCCCCCAAATAAATGAGTGGAATTTTGAATACCCTCAAGGTCAGACCTGCAAGAGATCATTTCCAGCCCAATGCTTCCCAAAGGCAAATAATGTAATGAGACTTGTGTCTCATGGTGATAGCTTTCTCCCTGTTTTCCTTGTTCTGGGTTCAAACACAAAAGTTGAAAGGGATGACTTACTTGCAAGCAGTACAGGCAAAGCAGCTTGGATGATATGTTTTTCCCAGAGCTGTCACTACTTCGCCTTCCACGAACTCCCCACAACCGTTGCAGCGGGTACCATACATGCGCTGGTAATCCAAGGTGCAAAGATATTCCCCATTCTTAATGAAAAAGCCTCCTTGTGCCAAGTCACAGCCACACACTGGAAGAAAAAAACCCACACAGATTAGAAAAATATACCTACTAAGGATGTCAGCAACTGCCTATGCTGCCAACAAATGAAATGACCCAGGTGGTCTTGCTCCCTTCTATCAGACTATTGTTTTCTCCTCCTGTCACTACATGCCTTGACATCCCAGGAGATGGTTGGTATTCTCTGTCTACAAGAGAGCTTGTAATAAAGACTCATTGGAGGAATCTACATAATCATGACTTTCACATAGTTGGTCCTCACCAAAACCTCAGTTACTCTGCATCATCCAGTTAACCATGTTATCAGAATTATTTTTACCAATTCAATCTTGTTTTCACTTCTGGGACTGGAGGTGAGAAGAAGAAAAGACATGATTCCATACATAGGACAGATCTCACTATTTTATACACTAGCACACATTTTTCCTGCAACCATGTGCTTTAAGAAGCTTTCAAGGGGCTGATTTTTATTTTTTTTTTTAAACAATGAACAGTTTAGAAATATTATATGGTTTAGATTAACTCTTCTAGTTCCCAGCTAACACTAAGCTGCTTCACCATCGTGGCACCAGTGCTTTTCATCTTGCTTTAAAAAGTATGACCTTTGAAATGTTCAGGGTGAATTTACAGTATTAATTTAGACATAAATACTAGGAGGAAGCTGCAGCAAAGACACAACCAGGCATTAAAAATCTAGAAACATCTCCACTATATACACGTCATGATACATGAAGCTAAACTATACAGCAGCATACTGGACACTGAATAAAATCAATGGAAGATTATTCTCCACCTGTATTCTGAACAAATTAGTGTCGTAAGAACAATGAAAATTACTCAAAGGAAGTAGTAGCTCTTGTGTTAGTCTTTTGTCTACTATATTCCCTGTACTTCATGGATTAGATAAACCACTCTAGTATTTGGATATAAACTTGTGGCCATGTACCGCTTTATTGGGTAAAATAATTATATCAGTAAAAGTGAAGGACCAGTCAAGGATTTCTGTGACCTGGCATTTTTTCCTCTGCTTATTCACCCAATTGAAACACATCACCACCAGATGCCTGTTTAGCTTTAGGAAAATATTCATAGTGCTACATTGGCATTTCTGGTCAACACAGGAGACAGAAAGCAATCCATCCTTATACCAGCCAACTGCTGTGAAGAGAAAGTGCCAGCCATGGGAGACGGGCAACTGAATTGCACACTTCAGTTTTAGCTTGGGTTAAACAAAGGACTTGAACCTACCTCTTTAATGTTCCACAGTAGTACCAAAAATACTACTTGCTTCATGTGAGCTTTTAAAAGTCCTCTTTATTCACCTCACTGAGAAAGCATAAATAGAAGCTGCTAGATGAATTCTTAAACAAATATATACATGGCTGCTCCCAGGCATTTTTGGTTTCAGCCACTCTTACTGGTCCTCTGTATATTGCTGTATCTGTGTAATTCAGTAAGAATTACTCTTCACAGCAGTCTAGGATGCTAGCTTAACTCTTACTCTGCAAGCAATTCTATCTCATCCCTTTTCATAACATTCAAGTACATTCAGATCAAATAGCAGGAATATTGAATATCAGAAATTCTGATTAGTAAGGAAAAATTAATAAGCAGCATTCTAGGTCCCTGCAGTTACAGAGTCCTTGAAATTTAAAATATGAAATACAGAAAGATTATCAGGGCAAGTGGGTTCAATTCATCTCTCTGCCACAAATTCCAAGCATGCTATTGTGCTCAACATTCATTCTCTTCCCCATTATAATGGGCTAATATCTTATTAACTACCTGCCTTGACAATAAACTTGCAAGGTGTTTGGGGCAGGGACTGCAAATTCTCTGTTTGCCTGTTGTCAAGCCTCAGGGACCTAATGACTGTTACTGTAACTAACAATAATTAATAATTAACAATAAATAGAACGCACTAAAAAGCATCTTAGAATTAAAGCAGTATCAGTACTAGCATTTTTCCGGTTTTACATTTCTGCATAGAACAGTGTTAATATTCCATGTGCAAACAAATTACATTTCATGGTGGCATTAAATCCACAAGCAGCCAAACCTCAATTATCAGTGACTTAAGAGAATTACAGAGAACTATCGTTAAGGCTCTATTATAATGCTTCGAAATGCTCCAAGCTGGTTTTCAGGTACACCTCCAAAACCCCCCTTTTTTCTTCTGTTTTCTTCTACTGATCTCCATTTTGTTTAAAATGTTAAACTAACAGTACAGTATCATGTAACTATTAGACAGAAAATTCTGTGACCTCTACACCACATCACCTTAGACTCTTCCTGAGCTGTGGACCATCTAGTCGTTTTTCACTGGAGGTCCAGAGGTGAAACCTGAGCCTACTTACAATAGGTTTGCTTTTCTAAGATACCTTTGGTGGATCCTTACAATTAAATCATGGAGTCACTGAGAATTCTACTTTAATGTCTAATATTTGTTAGGGATTACCTCAGTATTCAGACTGCTAGATCCTGTGGTTACAGTATATGTACTGCAGTATTGTCATGGAGTGGTCAATACTAGATGCTTCAGAAGCTGCTAAATCATAAAGAGCTATGGACTACTCAGTATTTAAATTACAGTTTGTAATTTAGCTTGTAGTTTTAACATCCTTGTCTAGATATATTTCAGCTTCAAGCTGAAGGCCCTCAGCATGCTGCTGGATCTGCCTCAGAAGCTGCATATATGAACTCTCTGGCTCTTTGCTACAGTCCCCAGTCCTACCAATGAGTCACCTTTTGAAAAACTCTTTTAGTCACTATGGCCCTCTTTACCTGCCTAGGTAACGGGTCTAATAGGGTAGGATGATCAAAAGTAACTTTCAATGCAACCTCTGTTCTACCATCTTGTGAAAATACAGCTTCAACGTATCATACAGAGGTCTGTGGCAGATCATTGCTTGCAAAAAACACTACAAACTTTGAATGAAAGGGTTCATAAACTCACAGTTATTAAGCTCTATCCCTTTTGCTGGGCCACAGAGATTCAAGTCTAGCGATGAAAATGGGGGATAAAATTATTTGGCAAGTCTTTTAAAGTCAGTAATTACTATTATTAAAAAGAGGCTCCCTCCACTGCCCTTTTCTTTATGAAGTCTCCTTTCCACCCAGTCTCTTATTTTGTCAATAACTCAGAATGAGTTAAATTCTCTCATATTGGCAAGTCATGAATTCAGGCACAAGCAGAACTGCTTAGGATGTGAACCACCAGCAGATTCATCATCTTTGGCATACTCACGGCAGGAAGCACACACCAATCTGCAAGAATTAAAGACAAGTCCTGGCAACTCCACATTACAACGGATTTTTGCAGTCAATTTAGCACATGTGTTCCTATCACTAATCACAGCTTTAAGCTACATGGGCGAAACAAGGGTCACCCAGACTGTTAACATCCATGGTTGGAAAAATGCTGTTCCAGCAGGCTGCTTTCACTTTGAGTCAGAGATCAGATCAGAAAGGATGAACATGACTGTATCCACACTTGGTGTACAATGCGGTGTACAAACAAGGAAGGGATTTAAACAGCTTGCTTTTTTTTTTCCCCTCCTTTTTGCAACTGTGCAGAAGTCATGATTCTGACAACAAATCGCCTCAAGCTTAACATGTTGCCATAGCACACATTTATGACCACTGTAGAAATACCAAAGAAAAGATGGACGGATTGTGATTGTTTTTATTAAAAAGAAAGACCATCTGCCCAATGTCATTCATGCCACAAACAGCAGAGGCAATGAAAAGAAACCAGCTGTGATGGCTAAATACATACAATAAACCCTAATAGTGTGATCTAGGCAATTGCTGTGATCCAAATATCATGTCATCAAAGAAAAAATAATACCAAAATGATGGCAGTTAATAGGAAACATCAAATGATGTTCTTTTGTTTTTTTCCCTATTCTGATGGGAAAAACAACTTCAAAAGAATTACTTCGTGTAGCCAATAGTGATATACAATTCATGTCTGAGAAGACAAAAAGCAAGAGGCATTCTATAAAAATCCATCACATGGAAATAGTTCTACAGAAGAATTACACTTTCCCAAGACCCTTTCTGCTTGATACAATGGAAGAAATTGTTTCACATGACTAGAACCTCCCTTCTGAAACAGGAGACACTCGGGACCATTTCTATTCCTTGAGGCACCACAAGCATAGAGGCAAAAATCCCAGCATTTTTCTTTAAATCAAAAAAGAAAACCATGATTTTCAATGGCTCCTGGAGGAACGCAGCCTTTTTCTCAGTGCCTGTATATCAAAGAATTACATATTCCAAACAGATGATCCTGCCTCTCTTGTGAATGGAATTAACTGGAATATAGTTCTGCCTCCCACTGTATGGAAAACACCTACCTACTAGATTTTTCTCTCTCAAACTACTCTCTGGAGCTAGTTTGCATCCTTGGAGCACAAAAAGATTGGAGATACCATCAGTGCTGCTGTCACCGTTCAGAGCTACAGGGTCTGTGTATGCAAGCCTGGGCTATTATGACAAAATGTAGCTGCTCAAGAGCAATGCAATTGCCTGTGATCTCCAAGGGACCAGGACCCTTCTTAAGTTGACTCACTTTTAAGATTGAGCGGAGATGATTAAAATGAAGAGACCAGATTTTTTCAAAGTATATGGAAGTAGGATTTGATCCTACTGACCATTATGTAAGATTTCTATAGGGTCTTTGTCAGTGACAGTTGAATAAACAGGTCCTTAGTAAAATAACTCCATGTTGATGTTAAGTAAAAATTGTTTCAACACTGATGAAACAAAGCCACACAAGCAGAATCTATGAGCATGAGCTCAGTTTGCAGAAGTGAATGCTATTCATTAAGAAAAGTCTAATGATCTGCTTTGTCACCATGCATTAAATAAGGTGCAAATTTAATTTCCTGTTGGGGTTTTATTTCCTTCTTGTATTTCTAAGCTTCATAGAATAATGGTGCTGTTCTCAAGCAGGGAAATATTCATACAACATTTATTTCTTAGGACATAATGGATTTCTTGTTT